CCAGGTCGTGCCGCCATGTGTTGTTTAGATATCAGTGTGAATAGCAGCCCTGTTTCCGACACGGCCGGCCTGCCGGCGTTTCCGGGGCAGTGTTCATTGTTTCCAGATGTAGCAGCGAGAGCGCCTCGCTCAGTGTCCAGCATAGTTGACCAGCGTATTGCAGAGACCTTGTGTGATGATTGTCATTTCTCGTTGTCATGTTTTCACTCCGGTGCTGTCATGAACGACGTTTCAGCGCCAGGTGATAGGGATTGTACATTACCTAACGTAGATTGTGTACACCGTTTCGGGACAATTTCTATGCGCACTTTTTGATGTTCGAGCCAGATAAAAAATAACCCGCGGTACCCGGAAGTCAGCGTACCGAGCTGGATTTTCATGGGTCCCGTCTACCCCAACGCGAGACACAACTGCGATAATATTTCTTTCCTCGATACCTGACACCCCCTCTTACCAGATGTGGACGACGCCTGCGACACTTAATACACGCCGAAAATCAAAAGACAAAACCACTTTCACACACAAGGGGTGTCCATACGCTCTCAAAACGCATAATTTTCACACACTAAAACACACATACTAAAAAACCAAAACAACGTGCACCATCTACAGCCCAATAGCAAAACGTATACCAAGTCCCAGACATATCCGTCCACCCAAACGCGAGAAATGGCTGCGAACGTAAAAGGCATCTTCCCCCACAAAACCTCCACGCACGGGATACATCCCTACCCGGAGGTAACTACAGTTTTAGACAAGTACCTTGAGTCATTATGTAGATTTTGTAGATTTGAAGTTATTTTGTACCCTGTTTCAACGTTCCTTTATCTATGTTATTTGAAATTAGCCTTTGGGCAAGAAATTGCAATAGACTTTTTACTATATCCTGAACTAAGTGCGCCAAGTGTGGACTGCATTAGCGCCAGCCATAAATGTCAGAAATCTAATATAATTGCACAAATATGTTGAAAACTACCTTTGAATTACAATCACACGAAGATTTTTCAATAGAAATATTTCAATTTTTGGTCCAAAGTGTTGCATAATGCCCCTTTAATGATCACAGCTGTCACATATGCAACGTGTAAAGTTCACACTAGAGCGTTTTCACATGACGTCATAGAAACACAAAGATAGTAGCGAACGATTTGATTCTTGCATCTTAATGAATCATAGCTAGCTCAAATGTTTTCGGACATCTAGAGGTCTTCAGATCTTCTGACCCTTTCCAGCGAGCTTTATATATGTATAGCTTTCATACCAGATGAAAACATGAAAAGGGAACTTGTCAAAAACTTTTTAAAACCGTCTTTTCCACGTTTAAAACCGTCTTTACGATCTTAACTTATCCGCTCATCTAACACCATTGTCCAGTCTGTACTTCAGTCGAATGCCTTCTGTCACAACTCATACTTCACGAAACCCTGGGAATGCATATAAAGGATTTTGTATGTGTTTGCTAAATTCTGTTCCTGTACTGTCTATGGGCCAGTGAGAGCCTGAAAAAAAAACGGCATTTACGCTTGATCTATTCAAAGAACTGAAGAAACAAGGAAATCAACATGGCGGTTAGCAGTTACTACAGTAAAGTAAAACGCTGTATGTGGGCAAGACAGTTCACTGTTTGAAAACAAAAACTCTATTCTTGTTTGTTTCAGGTGCTGAACGCCTTGTTCTCTCTCCTCATTCGGCCGGAAGAGGACAACGCCTTTGACCACGATGTTCTCAACAACTATCACCACTATAAACAGTCGTACAATTCTAAAGCTCGTAATAGTGCTGATAAGGCCAAGTAAAAGTAAGGATCAGTCCACGGCGGTCGGTTGCTAGGCTAAAAGTCGCATTACTAGAGAGGTATCGGGTTACAGAACGTGTTCGAACGTGGCCGCGCGGGAGTCCCAGGCCGGCCCGGGGGCAACGGGTAAAATTTGAAAATAAACAAAAGTAATTGGAGAGTAAATACTCGTCAAAATAAAATGTAATAAGTGATTTTGTTTACCTCAAATGTTATTCTTGCACTGCCTTTGCTCCACTTTGTGTACATTTGCTTCCAAATGAGATCAATTTCGGATTTCAAAAAAGGGTTCACGAGAACCAAACAACTGATTTTAAGAGGCCCCGAAAATTAAAAAAAGGTTAGATTTTTGGATTTTTAGAAATATTACAATAAATTTAAACTTTCTGTCTTAGGATTTTTTAATTTTTTAACTAAAACTCGACTTACAGTCAAAAGAAGAGCTAAAAACGCAGCGTTTTAACTTTTAATACCGATAAGTCATAATCGCGGCCATATTTAAAAAAATCCCTAAGACAGAAATCTGCGGAAATCGTTCCTCTTCCAAACAAGCCCTCAATGAGGTAATTTGAGCGATTTTTGGGAGTGGTTAAAATACCATGTTTGCACGCATACTGTGCCACTTGGATATGGGGACATGGATTTTATAACAGCGTCAACAAGAATTCTGACCTTCAAGGTCACCCACGATGACGGCAGTAGCTTCGTTACATGTTACATATCCACAATAAAATCACGGCATAGATGTAATGTTTTGAAAACGCTTCATATTTGTGGAAAGGTGGATTTTTTTCTGTTCCTTGGTTCCCAAGTAAAAAAGGGCTTAAAGTAGCCGGTTGTAGCGGCTTTACTGTAAATGACCGCGGTTAACCCCGGATCGAACGCCCGTTCTATTCGAATGACGTCATATCGAACAAGATTCGCGGGTTCGGGGAATTCGATCTCCATAGTAGCGGAGTGGGACTTTTAGGCCCAAATCTGACCATCGTGGTCTGTAGGTTGAATAGCCTGTAAAACCTTTACACAGACCTAAGTATCATATTCACACTTTTCTTGGTTTCGTCACCTTTATGCGTTAGGCCACACAGCAAGGAATTTCTATGGATGACATCAGCGAGCGCATTGATTTTCGCCTGATTTTGAAAAAAAAGAATTGTTTTGCCTTCTGATAGTGGTCAACATGCCGAAAATGGGCAAAGATGTCTATTGCCATGCCGGAACGTGGATGGCAGATAAATATGAAGAGGGGAGACAAGACAAGGCTCTGATTTAATGTTTTGTCTTTTACTTTGATG